AGAACTTTCAATGAGGACTCCCTTAAACCACGACCTTTTCCGAAAATCCCAAACAGAACCTGCGTTGTGTGGTGCCCCGCTAATACACTGCGTTTCATAAATATAGGTCCACCCTAATTTTTTGCTATTCCAAAGTTGCTGTGCATTTTTGGAAAATGCCGCTATTACCAATAGTTTCCCCATAACGAAAAACCTTGATACTTGATTTACTGGAGAAATCTCGATTCAGAATTATTAAAATATCTTCCTTAGAACGTATTTTCACCGTTTCGCAAATATGACTACACATCACTTGTCGAGAGATTTTACTATAACGAAAAAACGTCACGAATTTTCAATAATGGGATGACCCCCCAATAATCATAAGGAACACAATAATACGTTTTGAAATGCTGGTAGCCAAATTAGCTATTACAGTAGGATCGAAATTCGTCTGGGCGCCGATGATCGACCTTTTCAGCTTTTCGGCTGTTCCATTTTGCTTTACTTTGCTGTGGAACTTTATAACAATTAAGGCCCAATGATTCTCTATTGGAATCTAATTCAGATAACATGGGTGGCCACCAGATAACTGCCACATTTTTTCCTGCAATTCCATCTGGCGCGGAGGGACCGGCATGGACAGCCGCGTTATCGTGTGTGAAAATCAAGGATAGAGGGGATCCTTGTTGAAAAAATGGTAAGACTCGCTTCGAAAGAACTTCACGATACCCTGTGGAATCTTTGTGAACGGAAACAAAAGCGAGCTCTAGCTACTCAGTCGTTCAAAGGTGCCTCAAACCATAAGGGATTCACCGCCGAAATTACGTTACATTGAAACCATCTGCGATTTTCACGCGATCATCCTGTACCCTCTTTTTCTGCCATATCCACCTAGAATAAACTTTTCCACGTCGATCTCAGACCACCTGTAGAACGAAACAAGGAGGTAGAGTCCAAGATCGCGAAGGGTCTTTAACAGCCACACCATCGCTCATTAAGTTGAGCCCTTTTCCACGGAGAAATGGAGACTTGCGATCTTGTAGCGCTCAAATAATCTTGGAACGCTCTTCATCAATCCGTTGAAGATGTTATTGCTCTGCTGGCTTACTCACCACACGGTGGTTTTGCTCACGGAAGGCCGCATTTCAGTACGGACTTTGTTCGGACTCCTTGTATAATTCGAGAGAAGACACCCAATTCCTCCTAAATTTTGAAGGAAACGCAGTCTTTATTTACCTAAGCGACTCTTCTCTCCGCACTGACCAGGATTTTGCACATAGTCGCTTATGCAGTATGAGCCGGCCGACATGGGAGGAAATTCTGCTCCTCAGCTATCCCACTTCAGTAAGTGCTCTAGCTTGAGCTTGTTACTGGGAAGAGAGGCGAATAACACGAGGTATGGTAAACTCGATGTCGACTGAGCCCACATATTTCCCCGCTTCCCTGATTCCCTTCACGGATCGTGAGAAATGGAAACTTTTTATGAGTGGCCCGATATTCATGAAACGGTGAAAATTCGTTCTAAAAAAGTTAATTGGGTTACTTGAGGGGGGAATTTGTCAGAAAAACACTATGAAGGTTTTCCGTGATGAGGAATCTAACGGTGATAGCAGCATTTCCAAAAAATGCACAGCAACTTTGGGGTAGCAAAAATTTAGGGTGGACCTATAATTATGAAACGCAGTGTAGTGTGGGAAAACTAGAAAGGGCAAGGTCGCGGTGCTATCTCGACAATTAAGAAAGAAAAAACCTTTATAAACAAAATAATTAAAATGGTTCGTTTCGCTCCTTCCTCAGACGAACCTTATTATTTCGTCAATCCCCGGAGCTCATCAGTGAGTTGGGATTGGCGAAATAAAGACACAGGGGAAAGACGAATAAACCTTGAGTGACGTACAAATTATCATGCAGAGGAGCATGCAATGAAATAAATTGTATAATTGTATATTGAATAAAGTGAATATAAATTGACAAGTATATGCAAAAACTTTTATGAAATTAAAAAGGTGGAAATGTTTGTAGCTGTCCACTGAATTAGGCAATAACTCATTGATTGAGTATTCCTTTCACTAGTTTATTAACATTTTTATAATTAGTAGCCACTGAGAGAGTTTGAGCAGGCAACAGTAGAAGGTTCATTGCTTACGCTTTCATTCTCAACAAAATCCTTTTCCCAAAGGGTAGCTCCCGTTCATTTATTACTTATTTCCTTTTATCATAAATATGTGAGTGTTCTTTGTTGGTGCGCTTTTGAATGGAAACTTGATTGTAATCGTGAGCTGTACTTCGGCCTCGAGGTTGTTAAAGCAACAGTCTAAGCAGGGTTTCAACCATTCGATCCTAGGGGTGGAAGCATGCACTAGCCCTAGTCAAGTACATAGGAAATGTCACTGATTTGAAAACTTACCTTTGAAAGGCGTTGGAAGGGGGTCTAACGCCGTCGAAGTGGGCGGATCCACCGAGCCTCGGTACGGCCGCCCACTTCTGTCGTGAAGAGTGCGTGATTGGCTGCGCAGACATTTGCGGTCGTTTCGGGACCACCGGGACTATTTGAGGTCGATCCTTCAAAGCAATCGATGTGGTGATGCCGACTACGCTGGATTTCTACGTTTTTTCCTTCTACCTTCTACCTTCAAAACATAAAACGATTTCATTATTGCGCCCCAATTGCAATTGCTGGCAAGTAGCCAGCTATTGCTGGCTACTTGCCAGCAATTGCAATTGGGGCGCATTTACTGCGGGCATGTTCAGACAACTCGTCCAACAGCGTCTTCCTCCATTGCTAAGTGGCAGAGGGGAGTCCCTGTCTAAGTCCCTGTTCGACTTCCTTTTTTCTGCTTTTTCTTCATTACCAATACTGCGCACGATACCGAGCGCGAAAGTCGGTTGCTGAGAATAGACTACTTGTAGGATGATACTGACCCGAGGCACGCAAAAATGCGGCTCGGCTTGCTTATTCCTTCTTCTCTAACCTTGCTAATCATGAATGGAAGGAGAGTACTTTGTTGCAGAGGAGGACTTGTCTATTAGAAAATGATAGCAGCAAAGAAAAGCAAAGAGTGAGGGCAAGATAACTCGAAATAAAAGAAGAGGAGAAGTGGAATGAGGGGTGCGAAGCTGCGGGAAGTGCTCGAATCTAGCTGTAAAATTTTCGTGGCAAGTACGCTAGGATGGCTGCTGACGGGACAGTAGTTCGGGGCTGGCCAATTTCACCTGGGGACTTTGGACCTTTTCAGGAGTTCGTTGTGATTAAGATGTCTGCGTGCCCAAAGCATCAGTAGATGTACCTTCGTCGTCGACATATAAGTAAGCATCTGAAAAACAGTTGCTCTTTTTTGAGAGTGGCCTTAAAATCATTGCGATGGTAATGAATGAAAGCACAATCCAAGGCAACTTCAAATGAAATTTTTCTATAAAAGTCTTCCAAATTTTTCCTTCTATGGGCCGAATTGAGTGCAAAAAATTTGTGCTAGGAGTACGCTCTCATTACTATGGAACCATTATGTGAAGAGCGATAGCACGGTCCCTCTGGAAGGGACTTTCTTCGAGGTAGTAGTGAATTTTCTTTTCTGTGGAACAATTCCGGCGTTCAAAACTTGGAGCCAAAATAGGCAGTACCCTCTGAGCTACTGTTGAAATCGTGAATAGAGGGAGGGAGGGGATCGGTCAATTGCCCTTGAGGATACGGGACCATTTCCAGGTGCTTGTTGCGATCATTACTATGTCTGCGAAGCCACAGAATTAGTGAAAGCGCTTTCGTCGTTGACATATAAGTAAGCATAAGAAAGAAATTTTCAATAGCATCTCACATCGAAAGTGTGCAATTTTCCTTCTTTCCCGGGGGAGTAAGGAGGGCTCTTTCAATTATTGTGAAAGTGCTGAACGAACGGCAATGTTACGACAGCTCCCAAATGATTTTCCCTCAAAAAGGCAAAAGGTCTCTCGCAGGTCTCTCGCAGGACAGCTTCACAATGCCATGTTGTGTCTCAAACGTGAGTAGACGCACGACCCCCGCCCACTGGTGGGCGGAGTTTAGCATGGCCAATATATTTCCCTTATAGAGCGACTCATACTCTACCCATTTCAAACTTGACCCGCCCTCCCTAGGTGATTTTTGAAGGAAGAATTATAAACATGTGGGGGACACTTGCGAATTTTGGGGAGCGGTCAGACAAACAAACTCTGGTTTATATAATTAGTATGATTGGTCAGCGTTTCACCTACATTTTCGTTGTAGGTAAAACGCTGACCAATACCGGTGGTTTTTGCCCTTTTTTGGTTTTTTCTTCGGGAATTCTTTCATGGATCGTTGCTTTAAGTTGGAAGTTTTCATTCTGGCTAAGGTTTGGACCGCCCGTCGTTTTCAAGGGCCGTGTTCCACAGCGAAGTGTAGCGAAGCACTGCACTCAGTTATTAAACATTAGTAGTGAATTCGCGAAAAGAATGCCGAAGTTTCAAGGTGAGAGAACCTGGAAACTTTTGATTTCACTGGCTTTCATTGTAAGCATTGCTTGAGATTGATACGAAATTGTCGGTGATTTTGTTGTAACATTGTGAAAGCTTGAGTGTGCTGCACCTAGAAACATATTTTACTCCTCAATTCTGGGAGATGCAGATGTTGCAAAAATAAATGATTATCTCAGAAATCACGCGCTACCGTGTAGCGTACGTTGCCATCTTGACACCACCACAAAGAGCAGTCGTCCTTCTGTATCAAACAAGTAGCCTGACACGAGCTTTAGCGACTTGTCTAATTGCCGCCTGCTGTCGCTCCTTTTCTTTTTTTGGCTCCACGTTCGCTATGACACAGTTGTACAAACGGTTTTTTTCTAGAAACATGCTCAATATTTGAACGGAAATATGCTCTCCTAAGTTGTACGACATCAATTTTGATTTTAAATTTTTGATTGCAGGCAGATAAACGTGGGATATCTACCACTCAGTCCTACACGTCACCAACACAACTTCCACCCTATCATCATGAGACTGATGTTCCGTGCTGCTACTGTAGCTACTTAATGCACGTCCAACAGAGCCAGCAGCAACATCACAACCCTGCAATGGTCCACGGCAGTCACATGATCCCGATGCTGCAACATAATAACGTTGACGTTCACCATGGAGCAACTCAGCACAGCATTGAGCCCCACACGCACAGCCATTATCACCTCGAGATGGGGCGGCATCTATATCAGCATGACATTCGCACTGTAAGTAACTTTCAACTAATGAGCGTTTTCTATTCATCCAAGGGGCAGCACCAGCACTACCGTGTACTAGACGACCGAACGATGTTGTGAACAAAAGTGTGGCTGTTTTTTTGAAAATCACATACTATGTAGACAAGAGGAACATGCAATGTGGCCCGAGATACAAGCTGATAGGTAGCTAGTTCTATATCAGCAAGAGTGGTAGTTCTAATCTTTATTGTACATTTCTTGCTTTTCCAAGAATTTCAATTAATTTGACGTTTTAGGACAACTTACTTAGTTGAAATCTTAACTTACTGAAAAATGGAACCATTCTAGAAGATCTAAAAATAAACATGTGCCAGCACTCGAATAAATCGTACCACCAAATGTGCCAGTTTTGGTGGTCTAACACCATGACTACGGAGAGTCAGAGTAGCAGAACTACTGCAATTGAAAGCGTTTGTGTCCTCAGATGACCTCGAAGTATAGGTGCCCACAGCCACGCGCCAACGGTTTTCACGCGAAAATTTAATCGCGTTCAAATAGACAAAATACCAAAAGGGAAATTTTTAAAACACTGCCTATAAAAGTTAATAACTGGTTTCGCCACATATACTGGCGATCTTTTCCAACTTTTTCCCATTGAATATCTTAGACACTCGAATCTTGGGTTATTCGCATAGAAACATGACATTCCATGGAAGTGACGCCATATTCTTGATCTGTGTTTCCGAATTATGCTACATTGTAATATCACCTTTTCTACTCTTCTTAAACTTCCTGGCAGAAATTCTCGATTCATTCCTCCACATATGAACATAGTTCCCAATGGCTGACTCGACTTGAAGATATTCGAATGCAAAGTCGGACAGGAATTATGATACAACCTATTAGTGCAAGTAGAATCGAATGAAGGCGGCACAAAAGGTGGTATGTAAGGAGCTGCAGAAATCGCAGAGAAGCGATAGGTCAGACGCCAGCAACCCTGGGTTTATCCATGATAGCGCGATATTTGAACGAAGCCTGAACTTGTGGTTGCCTCTTGCACTTAAAGGCAGAACCTACGATGAAAAAGCAACCCATCCCGAAGGAGAAAGGTAGTACACGAAAGAAGGAAAAACCATGAGAAACGGCCCAGAACCCGAGAAATGGGACCCCTTCCTTGCCCGTTGATTTGACTCTCATCGCTGTGCCCTCTTCAACACTACGCTCTCTCTGCTATCTAATCACTCGCCACGTATAGACCTGCGGCGAGTGATCAGATAGTCGGTGGGCGTACCCCGCCAACCGCGCCAAGAGTGAGCCATGCTAGATCGCCGAGGTCAAATCTTTCGCTGCCAATTGCGCGTCGGTCAGCTCAGGAGGTCCGCCTGTCTCCCAACTATGCAATTTTCCCTTCTTTGACCTTCGTTCTTATCGTGAATTCTTCCTTTAGAGGAATTCTTGACAAATCAGAGTTCTGTCTCACTCATAACTCACTCTTGAGTACAAAAGAATAAAGAAATGCGTTTGCTTCAGTAAACAATTCGGCGGGCCGGAAGGAGGTTACGCGTTTAATTTTCCGCCGTACATCTCTCACAAATGCTGAAACACTTTCACCAAGCTCTCGAAATATCTCACTTGGAACTCTTTTTGATTTTCTGACTTATTGCACCAACATCTCACACTTCTACTGCATCCTATTCTATCGATCGATTTGTCTCTATTCTCCAAAATCGCACGCTTTAACCCGATTCTTTCATTGCGTCGCCTGATACGTAGCCGCCCCAAGGCGGACTTCTTTCCATGCCCCGCCTTTGGCTCCGCTACCTTCGATTGTCCATAGAGTGTGGTTTTTGTAAGTTTGTTTCTCTTCGGAAACTGAATCTTTGTGCGTGAAACTTTGTATGTTGTCTCTAGTGATCACAACTGACATATGCGTGTTGGGAAGAATGCAAGTTTTTTGAGTAGGATTCCTTCAACCTTGAAGAAACTTTACTCGTATTGGAATTGGTCGTATTGGTCATGACATCATGCAAAGGCGGTGTGGCCCGAGAATTACTGGAAAATGCTTGTTCATGTTGAGAATATATGCTTTTGAAATCTATTGAATTGTAATCTTTGTAAGTTTATTCATAGAAGTGATCAGTGAAGGGACAACAGATTTGCAGTCAACCTTTCAGAACACTTTTTTTATTATTATCAGATTTTTTAAATAATTATTTAGGAAGGGTAGTTCACTTACCATTTTTCTTGTCATTGGGTCATCCACCTTACCCTTGTGCTGATTCTGGTTGTACCCTAGAATGTGTAGGATTATAAATCCAAGAAATATATCTGCTGCATTCAGGGCAATGCCGATCATGATGAGCCCTTCAAGCTGGTACCAGTGTCAGAACGTCGAGCAGCTTATGAAAAAGAGTCTAAAAGGATGAATCGTTCCAACAGTCGCCCCTGGAAAGCCTAAATCAATAGTTGACACATTGAATTACTGAGCACGCGGAATTGTTGAAATCGATTTTCAACGTCTCACTTCATACACCTACGCAAAAGTCCATTCCAGGACATTTAAGCAAGTAATTGTCATTTCTGTCAGGTTGGTCCATAAGTCTTGCAACAAACTGGCTAAATTTTGAATTTTAATATTTTTATTATCTTTTTGTTCCATTCATCCAGCATGCTACACACCATCAATATCTACAACCTATTGCCAACGCACTAGAAGCTGTTCGATGCCTCCTTGTAGAACTCCACTGAATTCTGATCGAAGAAAGATCAGATGTCGATTTTGACATCATGATGGTTAGGATGAGATTTCTTCTCTAGGACGTGGTCTGAAAAGGGGACACTATGGATAGTCAGCTTCAACGCCGAAGCGTTTGAGCTGGACTATCGCCCTTGTTTATTTGTTAGCACACTGTACCCACTCCTCATCTTCGGCAAATGTGATGGATGGTCAATCGAAGAATCCATAGTAAGTCGACTTGAACATAACGATGTCAGATCGTGTTTGGAGCTGATTCGGGCTCAAGGCATGTGGGATCCAAACTCTATATTTTCTCTCTTTTCAAGCCTTTGAAGATGGCTTACTGCACTCACTAAGCGTGCCCCCACCCACATTCTGGCTAATCCTTGGTGTAGCATGACTTGCGGAACATTCCAAGCAGTACTCGTAAAAATTAGGGCACGAAGAGCTTTTCGCAAAATGTAATATCCATAACAAGTAGCGAGACAACGAGCTGGACGGTTGGCTGAAATTGCAAAGGTGGATGCTACGTCAACAAACATGTTGCGGATTTTTCGGAGTTCTCACAAAAATTCTCTAGCATTAAATGTAATTTGTTGCAAGACTTATGGATCAACCTTATGTAATATTTCAATAAAGCTCTCGCTTCTCTAATTAGTAGATGAATACGTCATGTGGAAGAAAATGGCAGGTTTTTCAATGAACGTTGATAATGCGTCGTCCTTTTTGTCGTATATGTAGCGTGACAACTTGGATCAAATCTAAATATATAGCGCATTAAGCTAGTCCTGACTTTTGTCAGAGGTGTTCACATAGCAGCCAGACAACACATCACACACGCACAAACACTATCTTTTCAAATAGATCAATTTGCACACAAACACCGTATACACAGACCTACCCTCTCCAGAGCAATAACTTTCTTCAAGTTTGACAAATCTGAAAATCTACTATAACATGTTAACCTGAAAGATTTGATCTATCCAATGGTTGTTGCAGTGGCTCCATTCGTTCAGTGTGCCAAGAACAGCTCGGAAATGTTTGCCCAAATACCGCCAAGTGGTTCTCCTTCGCTGCATTGGCACTCTCTTAACGACTATAGCTCCGTTCTGGGACGATTTTTTTTTACAAAAATGAAAGCTTCGGAACCAACAAGCTGTTTTCCTCCGCACAAATGTGGAGGCATTCAGCATGTTCCTATTCTAACGATTATATATATGAATGGACGCTGAAACTAATGCGGATATTGATGATTTTTTGTATTGTATCACCTGTATCACCTGTCGTCCCGTTGATCGTCGAATTGCTCGAGCGGGCGCCAGCAACGTCTCCATTCGTCCCTGTCGCGTGCTAGAGTGGTCCAGTGGATCCTCCTCGCTCGAGGGACACGAAGTCCTTCATTCCTTTCGTTCAGAGCTTTCGTGAAGAAGTCTGACCATCGGGCCGGCGGTCGTCCAGGTGTTCGTTTGACGTCCCGAGGGATCCAGTCGGTAACCGCTCTGGTCCAACGGTCATCGCAAAATCGCATGACGTGTCCGGCCCACCTTATCTTCGATTCCTTGGCGAAAACGGCAGCGTCCCTGATCTTCGATCGTTGGCGTAGTTCGGAACTCCGGATTCCCCTCTGCACTTGCGTGTATAGGGTTACTCCTAGCATCGTCCTCTCGACAGCGCGTTGGATAGCTTCAACATGCCGAAAACAGCAATTTGAATTGCATACGCCTCCATATTCTAATCTTTACTCTATTCTTTTTTTTCTATTCTCGTCTACAAAACAAACACAATACAACGGCTACACTCGGTGGCGGGGAGGATGCAAACGGCAATTCCTGCGTTTCCATACCTTTCGTCGTCGTGCGGAGTGTCATGACTTCCCAGTCATGATAAAGACTGGACACCCAAATACCCTGAGGCTAAGCCCTTCAAGCTTACAACGAACAAGTGCCGATCTGCGGCACATATATTTTGAATTTACCGCGTACAAATTACAATCCATTCCAACACATGCCATGCCCACCGGACCGCCATATTAGTACAGGTATATATACCGCCCATCACTCGGGGTATAAATAGCAGAAGGCAAAGGTGGCAGTGGCAGTCTTCCACTCCGGCGCCACCTTCAGTTCAGTTTCATACAGTTCTTGTCTCTCTCTCTTTCTCTGGACCCTGCCCCTCTCATCAAGCGACTACGGTCGCGTACCAACTACCCCAATGCAACTCAACTTATACAACGACGCCACGACGAGACTATGCCGGTCGGACTCGCCACCTCTCAAGAAGGCGAGATAACTTACAATCTGACACATACCCTCAGACATCAACTATACATAACAAGACGAATCCTTCATTCACGATTTCCTTTCCCTTTTGTGTGTTTATTCATTGTTGTGATACTATATAAACGATATATTAAATACTTTGTACACTACCAATCAAAACAAAATCACCAACATGAATCAAAGCACTCGGCTTCGCGAGCTCCACACGGAGACCCAGTGACGACTCGTATGAAAATGCTCGCCGCTAGGAACTACGTTTACTGGACGAACATCAACCACGACATCGAGAGATTCGTCAAAACTTGTCGTCGCTGCCAGGAAACGGCGAATCCAGTCAAAACGACACTTTGCTCATGGCCAGTGGAAAATAGGCCATGGAATCGCATACACGCCGATTTGTCTAGATCAATCGATGCTAAAATGTGCCTGGTAGTCTTTGACGCTAATTAAAAATGAGCGGCTAATTGTCGAAATATCTTCCACAGCGACCTTCAGCATGATTAGAAAGTTGTGCCGCCTTTTCGCCCAGTTCGGCAACCCACAAAAACTGGTGACGGATAACGGACCTCAGTTCATATCCAAGGATTTGCGAAGACTTCTGCAATACAAATGGCGTAAGACACATGAAATCTCCGCCATTCCACCCACAGTCTAACGGACAAGCGGAACGTTTTGTCGACACCTTCAAAAGGAACTTCGAGAAAATGAAGGAAGAATTGTCGCCAGCCGAAGCACTACAAAAATTCCTGCAAACATACCGGTCGAACTCCCTGCTCGTCCACACCAGGAGGAAAATCACCGGCCGAAGTTTTCTCGGGAGAGATACGAACTACATTAAGCCTTCTAAAATCAAACGTCACGACAAAAGACATACTCGTGATCATAGAACAGAGGAACAATATACTCGTCACCACGGAGCTGCTGACAAGGCTTTACAGTCGCCAGAACTCGCCGACCTTCCGCTTCTGCCCAACTCGAAACCAATTCGCACGTCAGAAGAATCACGAACAACACAATTCAAGGCTAAAACAAACCACAGGAAACGTCAGTAAACAGACACTGGTGGTTGACCCGAAGAAGAAGACGTACACCTGCCCTTGTTAAAGTGTTCATCCTAGAGGGAGGTGTTATAGAATTGAAGATTGTTTATGATCTTATATGTATTATCACTGACATTGAAGCGTGTATATCATAAACACCGTGAGGTTCAGTTATTTCCTGTAATGAACCTTCTTCTCAAGAAGTGGTCGCAACAGTTTCATCCCTTCAAAAAATTGCCCGTTGGACCGTTTTTTGTGCACAACCGGGTTTTTTGGCTTTCAATGACTATAACTTTCTTCAGATTCAACCTTTTGCAATTCTTGTCCCCTGGGATAAACTAGAAGGTTAGAGCTTTTAACGAATACTTGAACTCTTTTCAAAATTGATGGAGTCAAAAAATCGCCCCGTTTGGACCGTTTTGGGGAAATCGCGGACCGATTTTTGGCAGAGCGCTGGTTTTTTTTTGGCTTTGTTCTATAACTTTCTTCAGATTCAACTTTTTGCAAACCTTGTCTTCCTCAAAAAACGAGAAGGTTAGAGCCTTTTAAGGAATACTCGATCTCACTTCCTAGTGACCCGTTTAAGAAACCGTCCCACTGGGCCGTTGTTTTTTTTCCATCTGAAGCTACGCTGCTAAGACAGCGAGGGCGGAAGTGGTGTAGTGGCAAGTGGCACGCTTACCACGCGAGCGGTCCGGGGATCAAATCCTGGGTCGTGAGTCGCCCGGGCCAACCAAGCCTTCCATCCCTCCGGGGTCGGTTAACACATTGACGCCCGCGCCGATTTTGGCGCATGTCACACATGTGTCATTGGCTGTATTGCGTGCGTGCATACTCGGCGATGCTCAAATCTCATATGTGGGACATTTTGTGGGTTTTCGTTGCGGGACCCACATGGGCAATCATCGAAAGGCGCGGGAGCGCCCATTTTTGTATATGAATTTGAGTCTTTTTTATCAGTTTGCTTGTTTTCACGAGTTTTTTAGTTCAAGAAGTGCTTTACTTGTTTTCGTGCGTATTTTCTACAAGCAAGAAAGAAAGCTAAGCAGGTTTCCTCTAAATGCAGTCGTTGTCGAAAATACTACTGCCTTATTTGTTTCCAAAAATATCATTCAAAATGTTAATTTCGTTGTTTCTTGTCTGTTGAGATTGTTGAAAAGTATGTAACTAATAGACTTGTTGATTAGAATTTTCTGATATCAACTTGTTTATAATTGCCAAGGAAGCTCAAACTCTGAAGCCGAAATAGCATAGAAAGTTTGTAATTGATGAGAATTTGTTCAATACGTAGGCTCATTGAAATCTGATTGTTTTGAGTGTTGAATCTCTGAAAACTGATTCATGCCTTCGAAGCGTCATAAATCGGTAGAAATCGAAGTTGTCCACATGCCACGTGTTCTGT